TTTGAGGGCGGCTATGTAGTCACGACTTGGGCCGGTGGCCGGCCTAGAGAGTATTATAACTGTGTGTATAGGCGCGAAGACGCCTGATTTCAGCTTGGTGCACTGGTGTATCGGCGGCGCCGCAAGGAGCGACTGGCCGAGGAGGAGTGTATCAGTGCATAGTACATATCCCTTGGAAAGGAACTGTGATAGATTGTGATGCGGGGGTTCGCTCCGCAGTCGTGTTGGTTCAAAACCATCTAATCAGCGGCCCTGCTGCTGCCGCCCTCGTCGACGCTGCCTTCGCTTAAGCTTGAGTCGGGCGTGTCCCTCTACAGGAGGAATACTCAAGAAAAGACAAAACATAATGTTGGGACGATTTTCTTTTTCAGCATATGTGAAGATGTTTTGGAATATCTTTTGAGTACTTCCTGAGTTTTTCGTCCAAAATCCGCCTTTAGGGGGACATGCCCGACCTAAGCTTAAGCCGGGCACGTCCCTCTACAGGAGGAACATTCAATAATAGTCAAAAATAGTATGGGGACAATTTTTTGAATTTTCTGTTGACCATTATGGAGCATGTTCGGACTATTTTGATTTTCTCGTCCCAAATCCGCCTGTAGGTGGACATGCCCGACCTAAGCCTTTGCCTGCGCTGCTGTGCTGCCGCGCACGGCGGTTCACGGTGGGTCTCGTCTCCCACCCAGTGCTGCGGGCGTTCCCTTGCCTCCCCCACGCCCGTGGCCCACCTCTGCAGCGTGGTTGCTGCGCTGCGACCCTCGGGGCGTGGTTTCTCATCCCCTCAAAGAGCGGTTCTCCGCAGGGCCAGCGTCGAGGCTGCCTCTTAGGTGTGCCCCGTCGAGGCCGTCTCCGCCGAGTCACCCGTAGGTCACTGAAGGCGCGCGCGCGCGGTCGGATTCTCCTCTGTCTCTCTCCCTCCTTCTCCCTCTCTCTGTATCCAATTTCATCCATATATATATATATATGTACACTCATATGTATATGTATATGTATATGTATCTGTATTTGTAGATGCATTTGGTATATGTATATGCATATGTAGATGTATATGTCTGAGTGTATGAATTTTAATATGCATACGTATAGTTATAGTTTTATGCATACGTATATACATATGTATATGTATATGTTTATGTGTATGTATATGTATATGCAAATGCATATACATATATATACATATATATGTGTATGTGTATGCACATGTATATGTATATGTATGTGTGTATACATATACACGTTTATGTGTATACGTATACGTATACGTATATGTATATGTATATGTGTACTTGTATGTATATGTATATGCATTTATATATGGACATGTGCATGTATACGTACATGTACATGTACATGCATATGTTTATGTTTATAGTTATGTTGATGTTTATGTATATGTATATGTAAACGTATTTGTAGTTGTATATGCATATGTTTACGTATTCGTATATGCATGTATGTATGCATATATGCATGCATGTATGTATGTATGCAGGTCTGTATGCATATACATAAGTATACATGCATACATGCATGCATGCATGCATGTATGCATGTATGTATGTATGTATGCATTTAGGTATGTATGTATGTGTGTGTGTATGTATGTACATGCATAGACATAGTTATGAATACATGTGCATCTGTTTACGTAGGCGCATCTGTATACACATAACGTTTTTGGGGAGTCTAGGGTTTGGTTATAATATGTATACATATGTATATATATGTTTATATGTATAAATGTATTTACATATATATATATATATATATATATATGGATCTCTTTCTACACAATGTGTTAGCTTGCTCACATGGCACCGGGGAGGTGCGCCGCGACCGCTAGTCGCCAGCGCCACCGTACGCTTTAGGGCTGGGACTGATGGGACTGATGGGGCTTCGTGCCCCACAGGGCTCACAGGACTCGCACGCGCCATTTGGGCTCAGGGACTCGTAGATCGAATTCGGCCACGGGAGCCATATGGCTGGCGAAACGCGTTGGGGCCATAGGGCTCCTGAGGCTCGCTGGCCTGATTATGTTCTGGGTGGTATAACGCCGACGGAGTCGTGAGGTTCAGGCTCATAGGGCTCATGAGCCCCATGGGGCTGACATGGGTTCACTGGCGCTGCGATTCTTCTGGGCTCTCTGTAAGATGTTCGTGGCTCGTCCGGGCCAGAATGGCCGCCAGGGCCATGGGGTTGCTTGGAGCACGAAGCTTGCAGGGCTCAAGGGGCTCATGCCGCTCATAGGGCGGGGCGGTAGGCCCCGCAGGGCTCATAGGGCTCATAGGGCCCAGGCTGCCCGTAGGGCCCGTCGGGCTTACGCGACTCCGGGGGCTTACAGGGCACTCAGCTCACAGGGCTCATAGGGCTCGTGGGGCTCACAGGGCTCACAGGGCCATGCGGCTCGTAGGGCTCGTGGGGCTCGTGGGGCTCGCAGGGGCCGCTGGGCTCTCAGGGCGCACAGTGCCCACAGGGCCCATGGGGTACGGGCGGGAGGCCCAGGCACAGGAAAACGCGCAGAGAGGAGTACGGAGAGCAGCCAGCCCGGGAGAGGAGGTGAGAGGAGAAGACCCGGAGGGGGGGAGAGACAAAAGAGAGAGAGAGAGAGAGAAACATAGAGGGAGAGAGAGACAGAGAGAGAGAGAGAGAAAGAGACAGAGAGAGAGAGAGAGAAACAGAGAAGAACATAGGGAAAGCAGCAGACGGAGAAAGGGAGGGGAGAGGAGGAGATTGGAGGAGATTTTTATGTGAGGGGCCATCGTTGATACGGCAACGCTTCTCGCGCGTCGAGTCTGCGACGCCTCCGCCCGAAGCCGCCGCCGCCCGTCCGCCCGCCGCCCCGCCCCCGTTTTTGGGGTCGTTTTGGAGCGTCTAAGGGCTTCGTTTGGGCCTCTTGGGGGCCTCTTGGGTTCAGGCCTCCTAGGCGGGGTCGGAGCAGGTGGGGTCGGAGGATCGCGCCGCATCGCCGATGTATCGACGATGCGGCTCGATGTCGAGCCCGTGTTTCCCCACGCCGACGTCGCCGATGCATCGCCGACGTCGCCGATGCATCGCCGATGCATCGTCGATGCATCGGCGATGCATTGGCGATGCGGCGCGATCCTTCGAGCCCATCTACTCGGACCCCGTCCAGGAGGCCTCTATTAGGGCCACTTGGGGGTCTCTTGGGTTATTCGTGGGCCCTCTGAGGGCCTCGTGGGGCCTCTTGAGGCGAAATCTTAGAATTTTCGGTTCGTGTTTCCCGTCTTTGGCCCCTCTTGGGGCGGTCTTGGGGTGTTCTTGGGCCGTTTCGGAACGGTCTCGGGGGCTTCTTGGGCCGTCTTGGGGCGGTCTTGGAAGCCTCTTGGGATGTCTTGGAGCGTTTGCATGTCGAGACGGTGAGAACCGCCAACAAGAATGGGACATCTATTATGTTTGCCTCTCGGGGCCCTCGTGGGAAGGCTCTCGGGGCTCGCTTGGGGCTTTTTGTAGGCGTCTGGGGCCATCGTGGGGTCAATTTGGGGGCTTGGACCAATCGTCTGGTGATTCGGGGTCCTCCTGGGCTGTGTTAGCGGCCACTTGGGGCTCCACCCAGGGGGTCGAATAAGGCCTGGAGAGGCACCCGGTAATATTCGAATAGGAGTCAGTCTATATACATTTGTACATATATATAACAATCGATATATCTATCTATCTATATCTCTATATATCTATCTATCTATCTATCTATCTATCTATCTATCCATATATCTATATATCTATACATCTATCTATCTATCTATCTATCTATCTATCCATCTATGTATCTATCTACCGACCTACCTATTTGCCTATCTACCTATCTACTATCTACCTATCTACCTATAGACCTATCAACCTATCTACCTATCTACACACCTACTTGTCTACCTATCGACCTGTCTATCTATCTACCTATCTACCTATGTACCCATCGACCTGTCTATCTATCTATCCATCCCTCTCTTTGTCTCCCCCTTATGTATGTTTGTGTAACCCGCCTGCTCTTCCTTGCTGATTCCCACTGCCGCTCCCCAGCTCCTGGCGCTGGGGCTCGCCGAGCCGCCGCGCGATGGGCTGCCAAAGAACACGTGCGTGCGTGTTTGTTGTTGTTGCTGCTGCTGCTGCTGTTGTTGTTGTTGTTGTTGTTGTTGTTGTTGTTGTTGTTGTTGTTGTTGGTGTTGTCCTCGTTGTTGATGATGATGATGATGGCTGATGATGATGATGATGATGATGATGATGATGATGAGGATGATGATGAGGATGATGATGATGATGATGATGATGATGATGATGATGATGATGAGAGTGATGATGATGATGATGAGAGTGATGATGATGATGATGATGATGATGATGATGATGATGATGATGATGATGCTGATGCTGATGCTGATGCTGATGCTGATGCTGATGTTGATGTTGATGTTGATGTCGGTGTTGTGTGTGAGTGTGTGTACGTAGGAAAGGTGTACTTCGCCCGCCCTCGCGGATGCCCTCCCCTGTGAGAGTCTCCGCGCAGGCTGGCTCCCCACGGGTGAGCCGAGCCCTGCGCTCGCTGGGGCCGGTTTGCTGCGACCACAGAGCGCGTGTTTAGCTTGGGACTCGTGCCGGTTACAGTGGAGACCCATGCCAAGAAACATCCTGCTTGCCTCCAGGGTGCCCTGGGTTTCTTGGGCTTCGATGGTTTTGCGATGGAAAACGTGTTTTTTCCCATGCCAGAAATCAATGGGTGTCCTGGGGTCTCAGGGTGGGGTTTCTTGTGGAACGTTTCTTGTGGACTGGCCTCCGCTGTAGCCCGACTCCGCTGCGTCGCTGCGCGCGCGGCCGCTACGTCAAAACGTGTGTGGAGGAAGAGGCAGGAGGAGGGGGGGGGGGAAGAGGAGGGCGTGAGCAACACGGGGAGGGCAGGAGGGTGGGCCGCACGGGACTTTTGATCATGAGACGCGCTGAGGGAGGGGATGCATCATGGGGGGATGTTCTCCCCCGCAGCTCGCTGCGAGGCTACCCACCAGCGGGCTACCCACCGCACCAAGGCCGCTTCATGCTTTGAGCAAAGCTTGCGAACGTCTTTACTTCGTCCTGTCGCTGCTATTCTTCCTCTGCCCAAGCCGCCTCCTCTTTCGTTTACTGCTGCCGTAGCTTCTTAGCCTCCTCCAGGGCCCTTTGCCCGTGTGGCTCATACCCCGTCGGTTCGGCTTGTGGTGACCTGTTTGCGCAATCCCCTTTGCCGCTTCTTTTTGTTTTACATGCTGGTTCGGTGTCGTTTGCTTGTCGATGGTGAAAGATGCCTTAAGTACCACCCTCTTAACATATCATGTTTTACTGTTGAGTCTGGCCAGCAGTACTCTTGCACGGTGGCGGCATTGCATTCTTGTGGGGCGGACCAGCTTTCCACTGACGAGCTGAGCGCCCACGAGTTGGTTTTTATATATGTTGTGCAGTTTGCGCGCGACGGGCCGCAACGCGCTTTCGCATCGGATGTAGTGATGCTCGGGTCTGCAGCTTTGTTGGGATTGGCGCAGCAAGGTCAATCTACACGCGTCCAGCGAACAGCCGAGGGCCCAGAGGCTACGAGCAGAATTCACGGCAGGCTTCGCGTTGTGGACTACGACCAATGGAGAGGAAGCATATTGTCAAATACTTTCCAGATGTCTAAACATGTGTTTACTATGCCTAAATCATGTAAGACATGTTTAAACCATGTTTAGGATATGCTTCCGACATTTTACAAATGTTTAAGTTCAGTGATAGGATTGTTAGGGTGTCCATTGTCATGGCATCCACAAGCTTCGTGACTCAGATGTAGCTTAAGCTTCAGAGTCTAGAGGCTTATGCCATGGTAGAGGTGACCCAACCAGAGGCCTTCCGTCGTCCAGAAGGTTTCCTGGGACATGAATTTTATGCTCCTGGAGAAGCCTTGGGAGCATTCACCGAGCTCTGTCCGCAGCCTTCTGGATTCAAGCTTCCCCCCCATGCCACAAGAGTTGCCAGCTGGCGCGTGTGGCTTCAACAGTTTGCTTCGCGCTCGATCGAGCTGTCTACGAAAATAATTGGGGCGCGTGAGCATGAACATGTAAACAAACTTCTCAATCTTTATGTATGTGTATATGTATGTATATATGCACACATATTGGACTATGTGTTTCAGCAGCCGTTGTGGAGCCCCTTGAGAGCACACTTGGGATTGTGGAAGCACTGGGGGGTCACGAGAGGGAACCCCTGAGAGCGCGCAGGAGGGCCCCATGGTGCCCAGAACTCGGGGCCCGTTAGCCCGAAAATGCATGTCGAAGGGACTTGATCACCCTCTAGCTCGTGCCTCAAGGCACGGTGGATCGAACAAGTGTATGCAGCATCATTCTCTTGCACAGCTGTGCTCTAGAGCTCGGACCTCTTTCCTATCGTCGTGGTCGTCGTCGTTCGTCCTTGGCCCTGGCTCCAGCTCCCCTCCTGGCCCTGGTCCCAGCCCTCATCTGGCCTCGCTCCATACCCTCCCCTTGCCCTCGCTAGGTTCCAGCCCCCCTAGCCTCGGACTTTTCTATTCTCTTGCACAGCTGTGCTTCCGAGCTCGGAGCCCTCCGTTTTCGTCGTCGTTCGTTCGTTCGCCCGTCGACCCCCCCTCCCCCGGTCCCCCTGCCTCCTCACGATGGTCATGATGTCTTCAGGGGAAAACCAGGATGGCCTCAAGAGCCCTCCCCTCCTCACCTCGCCTCGCCGCCTGGCCCTCGCCCTCCCTCGTGCAAGAGCCAGGGCATGCGTGCCACTTGTTGTGCATCTGGAGGTTTTGCCGTCAGGTGTTGGAGATCCACTGTTTTCGGACATTGACGTCGCGATCTGCATGATGGATGCTTCCGATTTGCAGAATGCTATGGACATCCCGAGCGGAACGGGTACACAATCTGCGGACGGACGACACGATGGTCGCCTTTGAGCCGTTGTCCCCTGGGGAGGTGCGCATGTGAACGTGTACCTACATGTCCATGCCCCAAGCAGTGCTTGTACTTGGGGGTTCTTAACTCTGCTCTAGGGAGCTGGGCCCGGCCATGTGGCCGCCGTCGCCGCCCCGCCGCCGCCTCGTCGCCGTCCCGTCGTCTGGACCTGACGCCTGGTCTGGCGGCCACGTGGCTGCCGTCGCCGCCCCGTCGCCCCTCGCCGCCGCCCTAGACCCTTTCCTCTCGAAGAGAACACTGCGATCTACCTCCCCCCCCTGGACTTCACGGGCCGGGCCCTCCTGGGGATGTGCATTACACCAGAGAAAAACCCCAAGCAGGGGATGGTTTGATCGACAAGGAGATCGACCAGGAACCCGGGAACCCAGAACCCACCGAAATCGGCCCGGAATCAATAACCAGGAACCCGAGAACCCGGAACCGGGAACCTGGGAACCCAGCCGGCCACCAACATCGGCGGGACATTTTCGCAAATTTTTCATCAATTTCCGCTAGGACCCCTTCGGTGCAAGCACTGATTGGGGAAATTTACATATGATTCTGCTCCATCGTCCATCCTAGATATGAATCCGTATCATCCCATCATCCTTCTGGAAACCATGCTATGCGCGCACATTCGTTTATCGAAAATTATCAGTTTACAACAATCCTTGGCAACTGATGGGGCGGAGTGCACACGCGGGCGTCGTCGCGCGCGCATGTCGAAAACCTTTAAACCGTAAGTTTCGCGGGTATGCCATAATCGAGTGTCACGAAATCATATTCACCAGATCGGTTCGCAACACATATTTTCAAAAAAACATGCGGTCGCGCTCTTGCGGATTCATAAGAAAACGGTTCTGGATCTTTCAACATGTTCATTAAAGTCTACCACACGGGTTTCCTGCGCGCGCGTGTCGAAATCGCTCGAATGCCTTTGCGCGCGTGCTGTCGCAATAATTATTTGCAACATATTGGACGAAACGCACACGCGCGCGTCCTCGCGCGCGCATGCCGACATCTTTTGCAAACGATAGATTGCGTAAGGTTTTTTAAAGAATAATGTATACATTTAAAACCACATGGTATTGCTTCCAAACAAACCAACGCGCGCTCTTGCGAATTCGTAAGAAAACCATAGGCTTTCAACACTGTCACCACATTCTGCCAAACGGGCCTCTCGCGCCGCATGTCGAACTCATCCGAAAACACTTATGCGCGTGCTGGGGGGGGGGGGCACGATCCGTGTCAAATAATTCCATACGGGGCACTCGCGCGCGTCGGCCGCGCGCGGATGCCGAAGTCGTTCCAAAACCTTCATCACCGACGCGAGGGCATCGTCATCGTGATCGGTGGGCGTGATCAACATGGGCGCCGTCATTGGCCTTGCCGTCGCCATCGTCACCATCGTCACCTTCATCGCTACTCTCATCATCGTGTCTACCGTTGTCGGCGTCGCCATGACACCGCGCCCGCCCAAGCCACCGACTCGCACTGAAGTGCCCGCTGGAAGTGTTCAGCTGTCAGCGCCACCGCGGCTGCGTCAGTCGCGCCGCACAAGCTGGTCGCTGCGCGCGCGAGCATGCGCGGGCTAGCGCGGCCGCACAGATGCACCAGCCAACGCCAAGCGCTCATCGCAATCGCCCTCGCATGGGTTCTGCAAACCATGTTGCGGGTGGGTGGGTGGGACGATTGCGCGAACAGTGGAGTTGACAACTGATTACCAACATGGGTCAATGGCGCAACGTATATTTCACCGCATCAATTGCACCACAACGACTGCACCGCACAGATTGCACCACGTAGATTCTCCTTTCTGAAAAGAGAATCTACCCCCCCGGCGTTATCCGCCCCCCTTTCGGGTATGTAAATCCTGACCCTAAATATGAATCTGCTCTGTCCCAGGGGGGCCAGTACCGGCCCCCCTGAGGTTCTCTTGTGAAAAACGATACGCGGGGACATTTTTTGCTCCAGCACAGCATTTTTTGCACGAATCCCTTGCGAAAAAATGGGACGAAGTGCGCGCGCGCGCGTCGTCGCGCGCATGCCGAAATCCTCCAAAAACCTTCGGTGTCGGAAGGATTTCGCAATCGAGCTTCCAACAAACAGGCAAAAACACATGGTTTCGCAACATTGATTTGCTAAAAGTGCTTCGGCGCGAGCTCTTGCGAAATCTTAAGGAAACCGTGCGTTTATCAATTTTTCACAACATGCTACCAAACGGGCTTCGCGCGCGCGCATGTCGAAATCTGTCGAACGCCTTTGCGCGTGTGCCGTCGCGAGAATCCTCTGCAGAAAATGGGACGAAGTGCAGACGCGCGCGTTGTCGCGCGCGTATGCCGAAATCCTTCAATACCCAGTGGCTTCGGAAGGATTCCAACATCGTGTGTCCAAAAACTATCAAAAACTCAAGGTTTCGCAACACGGATTTTCAACAAAAGCGTGCGCGCGCGCTCTTGCGTCGTCGTCGTCGTCGTCGTCGTCGTCGCCGTCCCCCCTCCTCCCGAATCGTCGTCGTCGTCGTCGTCGTCGTCGCCTACGTCGTTCTCTGTCTTTCCTCGTGTTCGTCGTTGTCGTCCTCTTTGGCGTCGTGGTCGTTTCCGTCGCCGTTGTCGCCGTGGTCGTCCTTCGTCCTCCTCCCTCGTCGTCGTCGTCGTCCGTCGTCGGCGTCTTGTCGTCGTCCCTCCTATTTCGTCGCCGTCGTCGTCGTCGTCGTCGTCGTCGTCGTCGTCGTTGTCGTCGTCGTCGTCTTCCCTCCTCCCTCGTCGTTGTCGTCGTCGTCGTCGCCGTCCTTCCTCCTTTTTCGTCGTTCGCGTCGTCGCCGTCCTCCGTTCTCCCTCGTCGTTGTCGTCGTTGTCGTCGTTGTCGCCGTCGTCGTCCTCCCTCCTCCCTCGTCGTCGTCTTCGTTGGCGACGTCGTCGTCGTCTTCGTCTTCGTCGTCGTCGTTGGCGTCGGCGTCGTCGTCGTCTTCGTCGTCGTCGTCGACGTCGGCGTCGTCGTCGCCGCCGCCGTCGTCGTCGTCGTCGTCGGCGTCGTTGACGTCATCTTCGTCGTCGTCGGTGTCGTCGTTGTCGTCGTCGTCGGCGTCGTCATCGTCGTCGTCGTTGTCATCGTCGTCGTCGTCGTCGGCGTCGTCGTTGTCGTCGTCGTCGGTGTCGTCGTCGTCGTCGTTGTCGGCGTCGTCGAAGTCGTTGGAGACGTCGTCGGTGTCGTCGTAGTCGTTGTCGGCGGCGTCGTCGTCGTCGTTGTCGGTGTCGTCGTCGGCGTCGCTGTCGTTGCCAAGTGCCATTTGGTACCCACCGTCACGGTCTTAAGAGATTTTGCAAACTAAGTTGCGGATGGGTGGGTGGGATGTTTGCGCGAGCAGTGGAGTGGACAACTCACTGCGAACAGAAATTAGTTGCACCACATAGCTTGCACCGCATAGATCGCGTCACGTAGATTGCGCCACCTAGCTTGCACAACATAGATAACACCGCATAGGTTGCACCGCGTGGATTCTCGTTTCTAGAAGAAGAATATATTACCCCCCCGGAGTGAATGGGCCGCCTTTTCGTATTGCAATTTCATATGATTCTGCCCCATCGTCCATTCTAACTATGATTTCATACTATCCCAGCCAGGTTGGTATCCTTTCCCCCCGCCATCCCCTGCCAAAAGTACTATGCGCGCGCCCTTCTGCAGGTCAAGAAAGCACGTTTCAATAATCATTTGCAAACCATACCACGAAGTCATCACGCGCGCGCGTCCATGTCAACATCGTACCAGATACAGCGTGTTTGCAAGCATTTCAGCATCCAAACCTGAAGCACCCAAGGGTTTTGCAACAAACGTTTGCGCATTTCCTGTCCGCGCGCTCCTGTTTAAATCGTACAAAACACATAGGATTCTTATGACTTCTGCCAAATCCAGCGACTTCATGTCACCGCGCGGTGCACCCGCGATACTCCTGTCATGCGCCGAGGGCGCGAATCCCTGGCAACAAATACCACGCGGGCCACATGCGCGCACCGCAGCGCGCGCATGATCAGTCTGACGGATTTGTTGCACTTTCGCGCGCGCCGATTTCCGTTTCAACCTTGACAGCATCACCGCGATCACTTGCTTCATCGACAGATAGACATCAGCATCGCCAGCGTGTCGTTATCGTTCGTGCCGTCGCCCTCTTGAACATCGTCGTCCCTGGTGCCATCTTCGTCATTGTCGCAGACCTTGCCGACGTCATCTCGGCATCGCGCACGTCCGGGTGTTGTCGATATGCTCACCTTCGTCATCGACTTACGGTGGCGAGCACCGGCAGTGAGGATATTATCACCGATGTCGTCATCGGTGGCGCCGCCGTCCTCAGCATCATGAGTTTTGCCAAACATGTTGCAGGTGGGAGGGTGGGATGTTTGCGCGAGCGGTGGAGATGACGACTTCAAGTTCAGCACAGTGGATTGCACAGCGTAGATTGCACCGCGTGGGTAGCATCACGTAGATTCACCATAGAAACTGCACCATATAGACCCCGCTACATAGAGTGCACAATATAGATGGCGCCGCATATATTGCACATTGTGCACACCATAAATTGCCCAACATATACACACCACATATACGACACAACATGTATTGCACCGCGTGCAATGCACAACATTGATTGCACCACGTAGTTTGCGCAGCCTATGTCGTCAGATCTGGAATTGTTTTGCCCCTCGCCGGCTAACACATGCATAAATATTGTCACATGCGCGCAAACCACGAGGGCGTAGACACCGATCCTCGGCCCAGAATCGGTTTGGCCAGGATCGGTGAGGTGGGCCGATGGCATGACCCGATCAAAGCGGACGCCGAGGACCACGACAAACCAGACCCCCGTCGACGCGTTTCTGCTTACAGCGCGGGCTCGTGGATTGGACCCCGGTTCCCAGGGCGGGTTTCTCAGTCAGAATCGTTTTTTTTGGATGGCCCCTGGGGGCCCGAAGCGGCATGGAGGCCGAAAATTGTTAGAAACCATCCGTCCCGATTCGTGCGCGACGCGAGGGCGTCTTAGTATGACTGCGACACCAGGCGACGACGACGACGACGACGACGACGACGACGACGACGACGACGACGACGACGACGACGACGACGACGCGCGGCAGCGGCGCTGTGGCCGGCGGGTCTCGGCCGCCTTCGCGCCCCGCAGAGGCGCGCCCGCAGAGGTGCAGCCAGCGCCGCAGCCGGGCTGCGCCGCGCAGCTGTCGCCGCAGGGCGCGCGCGCGCGCACCAGCCCTCGGGGCGGGGGTCGTGGGCGAAAATCATATGCGTATCCACGGCCTCGCGGGCCGGGCCCTTTGGCCGCGACCCCGCGGACACGGGGCGTTTTTTCGCGGAGGCCCCGGGCGGAACGTATCCATGCGACCGCGTATCCGTGGGATCGCGCCCCACAATCCAGACCGCGAGGGCGCGGATACGGATATGTTCGCCGTTCGTCAGGGGGGGCTTTGTCCCCACGGTCGCCCGACGGACTTGGGCCAGACGCCAGACCCACCCGCCGCCCACGCAGATTTGGACTTCTAACGGGCATCCCCCTTGCAGCGACTGCCAATGCTCTGATGCCATGCCATTTCCCTGTAGCTGTATGCGCCTTGCTTCTGCGCAGTGTTGCGCGTGAATGTGTCGGTCCCGCACAGTGCCAGAGCAGGCGGGATCCACCCTTCTGCTTCCATGTGCCATCGCATCGCCTCGCATCCCCCAGGGGCTTCGGTTTTTTCACACGCTTCCAGGGGATTCTGGATCCACCGGCTCGCGCGGTGGGTCCCGTCTGGTCTGTCAGGTGCTGGGCCCCCCGTGGCGGCGCCCCCGGCGCCGCGCTTTGGCGCGTTGCGCGCAAGGTGAGGGATCCATTGCCGACACAATAAGTCCGCACGGACCTCCACAGTCTATTGTGAAGGCCTTACGGCGCGTGCCGCCGACCCAGAAGGTCAGGCTGAGCAGGGCACCGAACGAAACTTTGGTGAATTTTGTCATGTTCCAGCTTGTGTATTTGTTTGCTCGGAATCGTTTTTGCGCGCGGTTTCGCTGGCGTTGTGGGGTGCTCTTCGCGATGCCGCAACGCGCGGTCGGGCCCCGACTTGCCTGGGCCCCGTTGTAGCGATAACCATGCTGGCGCGTTGAAAAACAAGCGGGGGGTCTGAAGCAAGTTGAACATGTAGTGATCGTCTGCCAGGGTGGTGCAAGAGCCTGTTCGGGGCGCGGGGGGGCCACGAAGTCATCTTTGCATTGGATCGCGTGGCGTTTCGAGCGATGGCGCGGCTTCTGATCGCAGCATGTTCCTCGTTATCATCAGGCTCTCTCGCGCCCAGTGTTCCTCTTGCGCATTTATTTTCTCCTTGTTCTTGGTTCTCCCCTCCCGCCCCCGCGCGTGCTAGTATCTACGCGGATGCGGTGCGCTCAAGCATGGTGTCTCTCGAAGTCGTCGTCGTCGTCATTGTCCCTTCCGCGTTGAAAGAAGGGGGTAGCGCGCCCCTGTCGCGCCTGGAGTGCTATGCGAGGTGGCCCCGCAAGCGGCGGTGCCCACGCGGCGGCGGCGCGCAATGGTGGGATGCCCCGAAGTGGTGGTCGACGTCGACTTTCGAAGTCGCGTCGGTCGTGTTCGCCGTCGTCGTCGTCGTCGTCGTCGTCGTCCTCCTCTCCGTGCCCGCGCAGCGGGCCGAATGGTCCCCCGTCGCTTCCGAATGCGAGCGCGCGCGCGCGCGTTTGGTCCGCATCTCCCTGAATTGGAGTGGACAACGTGTTCGCGGAAATGTTTTTGGGGGTGGCTCTGCCAGACGAGAGGGGATCCATGCGTTTTGGGGCCGCCTCCCTGTTCAGGGCGCGCGTGCGCGCGCGCGTTGTAACCCCGCGCCCGGAAGCATACCGCTATGAGTTGATTGTTTCTGTGCTACCTTATCGCGGACGCTTCTTGACAAAGCTCCTCCCTGGGCCCTGGGGCCCCACTGCCGGGGCCCCCAAAGCCGGGCCAGGACGAGGGGGAGGAGGGGCCGCGAGCCTCGGCTCCGCTCTCCCTGCGCCTCCCAGGGAGCCGCCTGGGACGAGCGGGGCGGGGGCGGAGGGAGCAAAGGGAAGCAGGGGCCCAGACGCCACCGCGCTGCGAACAGATCGCCACGGGATGTTTTTCGCTATTTTCGGCCGGAGGCCCTTGCCGGGCCCCAGGACCGCCAAAAGAGATTCGAGATGAAGAACCAGTCCGCGCGGATGGGTCCAGACGCAGTGAAAAAATCACGACGTCAGGAACCCAGCCCCTCTTCGAACCAGGATCGGCTTCTCTGACGGCCCGGGCCAGACGCGGGCTTCCTAGGTCGCGGGCCCTCGAAAACCCGGCCGTGCCAGAGCTTCGTGGCGGTGGAGGATCTCGGAAGATGAGGAAGGGGGCGAAGAGGAAACGTAGTAGTAGTAGTAGTAGTAGTAGTAGTAGTAGTAGTAGTAGTAGTAGTAGTAGTAGTAGTAGTAGTAGTAGTAGTAGTAATAGTAGTAGTAGTAGTAGTAGTAGTAGTAGTAGTAGTAGTAGTAGTAGTAGTAGTAGTAGTAGTAGTAGTAGTAGTAGGAGTCGTAGTCGTAGTCAGTAGTCGTAGTCCGTAGTCTAGTCGTAGTCGTAGTCGTAGTCGTAGTAGTAGTAGTAGTAGTAGTAGTAGTAGTAGTAGTAGTAGTAGTAGTAGTAGTAGTAGTAGTAGTAGTAGTAGTAGTAGTAGTAGTAGTAGTAGTAGTAGTAGTTGTAGTAGTGTAGTAGTAGTCGTAGTAGTAGTAGTAGTAGTAGTAGTAGTAGTAGTAGTAGTAGTAGTAGTAGTATCAGTAGTAGTAGTAGTAGTAGTAGTAGTAGTAGTAGTAGTAGTCTACAGGGTGCGTTAGTGTACGGAATGGACGAAACGTTGCTTGAAATGGGCTGGAGTTCGGCCTACTCGACGGTATTTCCACAAGGCCAACGAACCCACCGACCCGTCACTCCGAACCTCCTACACGGCCTATGGAGCCCAGGCTGCCAGAGCAGGGCAGGGACACCGCCTCGTGTCCCGACCTGCTCGCGCAAACGACGAATTACTCTCGTCCACTCAGTGTACTACGTACACGGGTGTGCCGTACACAGGAGGAGGAAGAGGCGGATGAGGAGGAGGAGTTGGAGGAGGAAAAAGACGAGGAGGAGGAGGAGGAGGGCGGAGCGAGGTGGAGGAGGAGGATGAGGATTGGACGCCCGTAAAGGGGAAGAAAGAGAGAGAGGGAGAGAGAGGTCGGAGGTCCAGACCTCGAACCCCCCTCGGCGCACCCCCATCGCATTGAGAACTATGGTCGCCCTGGCTGGGGGCGCCATCCACTCTGGGGCCGACGACAGCGGGCGCGCATGGGCGAACCTCGCTGAAGAGGGGCAGTCTGTAGACATATACGTAAGAAGCAGGATTCGAGCCTCAGGCAAATGGCAATCTGCAGTCTTCATCTTCGGACTCGAGTTGCTGCGAAGCCCGAGCCGAGCCGCACGGCGCAGGGCCCTCGCTCGGCCCTCGTCCAGGCCGGAGCAGAGGCACAGGTCTGCTGAGCAGAGGCAGCGATGTGAACGTCCGCGGGGCTGGTCAGGCGGGCCAGCGTCCAGGCCTCCGCCCGCCCCTCCGGGCCCGAAGCCAGAGCGGGCCAGGTCCCCAGGGGCACGGGGGGGGGCCAGCTTGAAGGCCCTGCTGGGATGGACCAGCCCAGCAAACGCATCCGACTGAGGATGTGGGAAGGGGGATGGGGGATGGAGGGGGAGGGGGAGGGGTATGGGTGAGGACGGGTAAAAGGCGGAGGGAGGGGAGGTTCCGGAGGCCCCTGGAGACTCAAGAAGGGCCAAGCGTGCAAAACATCAAACCTTCTGCTCGTTTTCCTCCTCCTCCTCCTCCTCGTTCTCCTCAAGCTCGGGCCTCAGGCGGCCGTTCATAATCAGTCCCAGCGTGCCTCGTGAAGGCGCACTTCCGCTGAGATGTTCGTTCGAGAACGAGATTCGGGAGGGCCTCGCTGGTGTCGGTCTCGCTGTTGAGCTCGTAGATCGTACAATTCAATGAGTGCGCTTGTGTCCTCCTGGGAGGAGGAGGCGGCCTCGGACAGGCGACGGACACACAGGTTGAACTCTGAGGACTGGATGCGACGGAGAGATTGGCGGTCGCCCACCGCCCGAGATGGTCTGAGATCTCCCCCCACCTCTGGCTCGCTCCCTCGTCCCCGTCGCCTGTCGCACCCCGCCTGCTAAGCCCCCGCCTGCACCCGCCGCAGCCCTTTCACGACACGCGAGAGGACTGCCGAAGCTCAAGCTCCTCCTCCTCGATGCTCCATCCTCGATCCTCAATCTTCGATGACCCTCCTCGATCCCTGTCTTCCTGCCTCCCCTCCTGCTCGCCTCCGTCCCGCGCGGTGGCCCGGGTTTGGGCGGTCCGCTCCGCAGGGCGGGACGTCACCGTGCCCTCTGCTCGCCCCCCCGGGAGCAGCGGGCTCTTTCCTGGGGGACGAGCTGCCACCACCCAGCCAGGCCCCGCTCCAGCAAGGAGCTGGATGCAAGACAATCTTCAGAGACTCTCCTGGATCAATGGTCTGCGGGCTGTTGGGACGTTGCGGCTTGAGCGCCGAGTTCTGAGCGCAGACGCAAGCACAATGAAGAGCGATTCTCCCCAAACGCAGCCGAATCCTCCATGGGGAGGGGTGGCGTTGGAGGGCAAGGTCTACCTGCTTCTAGGAGACCAATATCGGGGGCAGAGGCCAAATGCTGATCTCACTTTCGAGCCACAAGCGCCTATAGACACGTCGGGTGTCGTTGCGCCTACAGACGGATTCGGCTATAGACAAGGCGGCCGCTGCGTTCGGCGCAGTACAAGATCGGACAACGGGCAGATCCGTCCATGGCATGGCCCTGTTCGACAACGGGTCCCGCATGGTGCTCCAGGGGCGGGGGGGAAGCGACGGGGTCGACGGTGGAGGTGCGAGGCCGAAGGTGGCGCGACCCCTCGCCAGGCGCGCCGGGCGGCTGGGGAGCCCCTGTGCAGGCGCCTCGGGGCCCGCGGCTCGGCCGCGGGCGGGTTGGGGTTCGGGGACCTCCAGCAGCTTCTCTGCCCCTCTGCTCCCCGGGTCTCGCTCTCTTCTCTGCCTCTTTGCTGCCATTGCTTTCCCAGGTCGTCCACCTGGTGGGCATCCTGGCGGGTGGGGTATGCATGACGAGATGTCTAAACTTCTCCTGTCCACGGAGCCGGCGACCGAGAGGTTTTCCGTGTCTTCGGGGAAGGCTTCAGACACTTCTCAGAAGGCAGGGGGGTTTCCGAACCTTCTGCGAAGGCCCGCCCCTTCTCACTTCCCCCTCGGGCTCGCCGCCGAGATAACTGACGCCAGTGACTGGCCCCGCCCACCCCACCCCATCCCTCCCTGGTCACGTCACGATTCGTGCCAGCGTCATCTGGGAACGAGACATTAATGGGCATTCCTGGATGGCGCTGGCGCGAATCGTGACGTGACCGGATTCCCCCCAGTCAACCCCAATATCGCGAGGGGATAAAAACGGGTTCGTGCCGAAAACCTCCGATGACAAGGAACATTTTTGAAACGACCCCCCCAAACCTTCCGAATCCGTAGGAGGAAGCCGTGCACATCAGAGGTGCATTGGCAAAGGGGTGAAACGACAACATAGGATTGGTGGGGCTTCTGAGAAGTCCCGCCGCTTTCTGAGGAGGGCTTCTCCTCCTCGCTCCCCCCCGCGTCCGCCGCCGACTATCGCGAGTAATGGAACGATCGGCTTTGGGTTTCTGGTATTCTGCGGAGGTTGTCAGTGGTCTTCGGGGCCTGGTGCGCTCTCCACGAGCTGCGCCTCCTCGAGCGGCCATCAAGGCTCGGGGATGCCCCGGTGCGCTTGCCACGGTTCGGAGGTGCCAGCCAGCATCGACCCGAGGGGCCACCCGAGGCCCGAGTCACGGCCCGCAGTCCGACAGGGTGTCAGTGGGAGGGCCCCCCTCCCCCCTCCTCTCCACTGAGATCTTGGAGTTGCAGTTCCTCTGCGCCGGGCGTTCCCGCCTGTTTTCTGGCCTCGGGGGCCCTCGCAGGTCGATCCGGCCTGAGAGGTGCGGCAGAAAGCCGGGGTCCGGGGCCCGGGTCGCGGCTTCTCACGCTGTGACACTGTTTGTCGCGACGTGGGATCTCAGTGGAGCACCTCCTCCCCTCCTCCGTGTGCCGCCCTCTTCCCTTCGCGAGGGGGAGGGAACGGGGGACGGTGAGTTTGAGTCTTGGCTTTTTCCTCTTCCGTGCAGGAGGTTGTCTCTCGCAGTTGTCACTGTGGGGTCGACGGGACTCTCGGCCCTCGGGCCCCCGGGCCCCCGCCGAGGGCCCTCGAGCTCCTTGGGTCGCTCCGGGCGCTCGGTCTCTTGTGATGGGGCTGTTTTCCACCACCACCACCATACGTTGGAGGGGGGAAGGAGGTGGAAGGATGAGGAGGAGGAGGAAGAAGAGGAGGAGGAGGAGGAGGAGGAGGAGGAGGAGGATCAGGAGGACCCCCTCTCCCTCCTACTTATGTTGGTGGCGGTGGAAAACAAGCCCACCATCTCGTGCTTTTCGCCGTTCTGCTCTGCCTTGCTCGGGGCTCCCAAACGGTGCGGTGACCACACCCTGCGGTGAGTCAGGTGGGGATTCGGGGTGACCGCACGGTTTTGGGACTTCGGTCGTCCTCGGGGACGTCTCGGGCGACCTCGGCCTCTTGGGGTCCCAGAGCCATTCGGTGACCGACCGTGCGGTGAGGGCTTTCGGGATTTCGAGGCCACCGCACGGTGCGTCACCGCACTGCTTCGGGCCCCCGATCGTTTTTGCTTCGGCCGAAGTGCCTTCGTTTGTCTTGCGCTGGTCTCCGAAGCAGTGCTGTGCTGAGATCAGCGTGAAGGGGCCGAGCGGTCTCTCATTGTCCCTGGGCGCGTGGTGGCTGAAGGGGGGGATTCTTGTTCTTCCTGTCGTCGTCGCCCCGCACCCCGCGACCCACCCGCGCCCCTCTCCCACGACCCACCGTCAACGCACCTCGCGACCCAGACGCGTACCTCTCCCGCGACCCACCCGCGACGCGCCCCGAGACTCCCCTCGCGACCCACCCACGACCCACCCACTCGCGGCAAATGTTGTTTTGATGACATCGGCTCCTGCGGTGGGCTCTTTGGCGGTGGCGGTATCTTTGGCGAGCACCACTGAGATTGCGTGCCGCCGCTCGTGCGATTTGCCAACGACCCTCGCCGTGACTCACCGAATTGAGTTGATCAATCGTAAGCACCTCCAGCGAGTTGTCTTTTGCCTTGCGCTTGGAGAGTTCATACAATTGGTCGTCTGCTCCCCTTATTCTGTACCACATCTACACAGCCATGCTTTGGTATGCGATGCTATTTTGCGATGTGCCATGATCTACCATGCTATGACTTGCTGTCGCTATGCTTTGCTACGCTACGCTGCGCTGCGCGATGCGATGCCATTTCGTGCCATGCCATGGCATACTACGCCGTACAGTGTGACTCGATTCTTCTATGCAATGTCATGGTACGTATTTTATGCGTTACCATGCCATGCCACGCACTGCTATACCATGCCATGATATGTCAAGCGCCAGATTGCTATGACATGCCACGCGATGCCATGCTATGCCATGCTATGCCATGCAATACCATGCTGTCCAATGGGAGGAGGAGGAGGAGGAGGAGGAGGAGGAGGAGGAGGAGGAGGAGGAGGAGGAGGGAGGAGGAGGAGGAGGAGGAGGAGGAGGAGAGGAGAAGAGGAGGAGGAGGAGGAGGAGGAGGAGGAGGAGGTGGAGGAGGGGGGTGGAGCGGGGGAGGAGGGGGAGGAGGAGGAGGAGGGAGGAGGAGGAGGAGGAGGAGGAGGAGGAGGAGGCTCCCAGCCGCGCGCCACTCTGCGAGGCACCGCCGTCCGCCGCGCCGCCGCAGCCGGCGGCCTGGGGCCCCCCGCAGGCGGGCCGTCGGGCCCCGGGTGCTTTCGGGGACAACGACTACAGGAGGAATATTCAGAAATAGTTAAAACATAGGTTTTTGTGTGTTCATTTTTTTGTTGTTCGTCCAAAATTCGCCTGTGGGGGGACGCGCCCGACCTAAGACTGGGAGGGGGATAGGCATAGGGGGGGACGCATCGACCCCCAACCGCCCATTGATTGCCAATAGGGGCCCGATAGCCCCAACCTGCACAGGCAGGTGCGGATTCATTATCGGGGGCCTATCGCCGATCTATCGGCGATGTATCGCCGATTCCAGGTCGATGCATCCCCCCCTGTGCCAATCCCCCCTATCGTTGCCCCTTGTGCCTGTCCGCCTTCCTCTCGTTGCGAGATGTCCGGCCCCGAGCCAAATCTCCGGGTCGATTTTGGATCCGTCCCTCTTGGGGTCGGGTCGGCGGTCCGCGGCCGCCCCGCCGATCAGCGCTGCCGCTGGCCAGGCCGACGGTCCGCGGCCGCCCCGCCGCTTGCCGGGGCCTGGCCTGCAGGGAAGAAAGGTATACCACCCAAAAGGGGTTCGATCGAAGACGAAGAGGGCGGGTATCGAGGGTTTGGGAAATACGCGTGCGTTATTGGACACTCGAGGAGATAAGGGCGAACAGTCTTAAGATGATTGTTGTTGTTGTTCTTCTTGTTGTTGTTATTGTTGTTGTCGTCGTCGTCGTCGTCGTCGTCGTCGTCGTCGTCGTCCCCCCCTGACCCGCCCGCGACCCACCCGCGACCCAGACCGCGACCCATCCCGCGACCCACCCCGCGACCCACCCCGCGACCCACCCGCGACCCATACTGCGACCCACCCCGTGGCCCGCGACCCGGCCCGCGACCCACCCCGCGACCCACCCCGCGACCCACCCGCGACCCACCCCGCGACCCACCCGTGACCCAGCCGCGACCCACCCGCGACCCAAACGCGACCCACCCGCGACCCATCCGCGACCCGGCTGGCGGCCCACCCGCGACCCACCCGCGACCCACCCGCGACCCACCCCGCGATCCGCCCACATTGCCTTAAGGAAGAAATCGGCGCAGGCGGCTCACTGCATAATTTATAAAAGTTAAGCGCCTGCGGCGGGCTTCTTCAGAGCCTCGCAGACTGACGACGTCCTCGCCGCCCCCTCACTCTTATCCGCAACTGCGGGCTGCTACGTATACGGTTTTTTGGTCAACGAGCTCCTGGTTCCCCGTTAATGGTTCCCGGTTCCGGGTTAACGGTTCTTGGTTCCCGGTTCTTGGTTTCCGGCTCCCGGATCCCGGTTCTTCGTTCCCAGTTCCTGTTTCCTGGCTCCCGGTTCCTTCCCAGTTCCAGGTTCACGGTTTATGGTTTTTGGTTTCCGCTTCCCGGTTCCCGGTTCCCATGTTTTCCCCACATCCTGAGTGGGGTTCTTGTTCTCCCAGAACATCCTCTCCTTCTCCCTCCCGCCTCCCGCCTCCCACCCTCCTACCCCTCCAGGGAGGCCCCGCTTGAGCGAGGAGGGTATCGGAAACCCATACTGTTTACATGGTTTCGTGCCCCTCCCACCCCTCCAGGGAGGCCCCGTCTGAGCAAGGAGGGTATCGGAAACCTATACTATTTACATGGTTTCGTGCCCCTCCCTCCCCTCCAGGGAGGCCCCGCCTGAGCGAGGAGGGTATCGGAAACCAATACTATTTACATGGTTTCGTGCCCCTCCCACCCCTCCAGGGAAGCCCCGCCTGAGCGAAGAGGGTATCGGAAACCCATACTATTTACATGGTTTCGTGCCCCGCCCACCCCTCCAGGGAGGCCCCGTCTGAGCGAGGAGGGTATCGGAAACCCATACTATTTACATGGTTTCGTGCCCCTCCCACCTCTCCAGGGAGGCCCCGCCTGAGCGAGGAGGGTATCGAGAAACCCATACTATTTACATGGTTTCGTGCCCCTTCCCATCCCTCCAGGGAGGCCCCGCCTGAGCGAGGAGGGTATCGGAATACCATACTATTTACATGGTTTCGTGCCCCTCCCACCCCTCCAGGGAGGCCCCACCTGAGCGAGGAGGGTATCGGAACCCATACTATTTACATGGTTTCGTGCCCTTCCCACCCCTCCAGGGAGGCCCCGCCTGAGCGAGGAGGGTATCGGAAACCACTACTATTTACATGGTTTCGCGCCCCTCCCACCCCTCCAGGGAGGCCCCGCCTGAGCGAGGAGGGTATCGGAATACCATACTATTTATATGGTTTCGTGCCCCTCCCACCCCTCCAGGGAGGCCCCGCCTGAGCGAGGAGGGTATCGGAAACCCATACTATTTACATGGTTTCGTGCCCCTCCCACCCCTCCAGGGAGGCCCCGCCTGAGCGAGGAGGGTATCGGAAGCCCATACTATTTACATGGTTTCGTGCCCCTCCCACCCCTCCAGGGAGGCCCCGCCTGAGCGAGGAGGGTATCGGAAACCCATACTATTTACATGGTTTCGTGCCCCTCCCACCTCTCCAGGGAGGCCCCGCCTGAGCGAGGAGGGTATCGGCAACCCGTACTATTTACATGGTTTCGTGCCCTTCCCACCTCTCCAGGGAGGGAGGCCCCGCCTGAGCGAGGAGGGTATCGGACGCCCATACTATTTACAAGGCTTCGTTTCCTGAGCACCTGTCCTCCCACCTCCTTTCTTTCGTGTGCCCTTTCGTTTACTCGTTCGATGAGCTTCTCCTTCGTGTTGATGTTGTCGTACCCCATGGGTCCCACGAAACCGTTAATATCTTTATGTGGGGAACTCCGTTAGCATAATGTTTATGGGACGAGGAGGAGGAGGAGGAGGAGGAGGAGGAGGAGGAGGAGGAGGAGGAGGAGGAGGAAAGGGATTATCCCAGTGCGACCCTACCTACGAGTTGGAGCCCCTAGGAAAGCAGCATTAGTAGTATCAGTAAAGCTAAGCTAAAACTAAGCTACAGCTAAGCTAAAACTAAGCTATCACTAAGCTAAAGCTGCGCTAAAGCTGAGCTAAAGCTAAGCTAAAGCTAAGCTAAAACTAAGCCAAATCTAAGCCACAGCTAAACTAAAGCTAAGCTGAAGCTAAGCTAAAGCTAAGCTAAAGCTAAGCTAAAGCTAAGCTGAAGCTAAACTAAAGCTAAGCTAAAGCTAAGTTAAAACTAAGCTACATCTAAGATACAGCTAATGTAGTTCCATCTAAGGTAAAGCTAAGGTCAAGCTAATGTACAGCTAAGCTAACTCTAAGCTAAAGCTAAAGCTAAGCTAAAGCTAAGCTAAAGCTAAGCTAAAGCTAAGCTAAAGCTAAGCTAAAGCTAAAGCTAAAGCTCCCAGGGGAACCGCGGGGCGGATACCGGGGGAACCGCCCGGGGCGATTTCCACTGCCCGGCCCCTTTAAGAGTGAGAGTAAGAACCCTTGTAGGCAGAGCCTAGATAGGGAATGATGATGATGATGATGATGATGATGATGATGATGATGATGATGATGATGATGATGATGATGATGATGATGATACTGATGCTGATGCTGATGATGATGGTGATGGTGATGGTGATGATGATGATGATGATGATGATGATGATGATGATGGTGATGATGATGATGATGATGATGATGATGATGATGATGATGATGATGATGATGATGATGATGATGATGATGATGATGATGATGATGATGATGATGATGATGATGATGATGATGATGATGATGATGATGATGATGATGATGATGATGATGATGATGATGATGATGATGATGATGATGATGATGATGCTGCTATGATGATGATGATGATGATGATGATGATGATGATGATGATGATGATGATGATGATGATGATGATGATGATGATGATGATGATGATGATGATGATGATGATGATGATGATGATGATGA